ATTTTCTCCACTGAAAATTCTTTAGGTCTGAGGAACCCAAAAAAGGCTAGATACGCTGCTGTCTTAATTACTAGGTTAGTGTTATATTCAAAAGGATTTTTATCTAATAGATTGGAGATATCTTTAAAGATGTTACTGTCTATGGGGAGTCTTTTTAGGGCTACATGTGACTTTTGCCTCTGGATACCTTTTAGTATACTTTTTATAGGGTATGTGGACAAGAAAGGGGACTTGTTCGGGTAAAGAATTAGCATGAAATGTTGTACTCCTGTTAAGTAAAGTTTGATGGTATTGTAGGCTAGTTTTAATGAGAGGTGGCAAAACGTTGAAAATGCAACCATAGTTTCTACAGAAAAACAGTTTATTATATTAAAATCTCGTACAAACTTTTTGAACAGGTCAAATGCCCTATCGTAAGCTTTTTTTGTGTTTTCCGACAAGGCTGCCTGTGCAAGAATTCTACTGTGTTTTAGCAACTGATTTAGAGCATGATTAGGTCTTTGAATTGTGGGGGATTTATGGAGTGTTTGTTTGCCTTAGGGTGTAGTTTGAAGAATTCCTGCAAATTAAAACGAGACAAAGCATCAGCTGCGTTATTTAAGACACCAGGAACATGGATACAATGCATATAGAACTGTAAATTTGCAGCCAACCATGTAAGTTTTCTTACAAGACTCATGATTGGCAGGGACTGAGAACGGCCCTTGTTAATTATGTCGCATGCTGCTTAGTTGTCAGAGTAACATTTCACTGCTTTCCCCCTCCAATGATTTCCCCAGATGAGAGCTGCTGCTACTATTGGGAAAATTTCTCTAGGGTAACTGTTTCGGGTGGCCAACTGTCGTATACCCATTCGTCCTCAAATATTGCAGCGTACCCGGTGGTAGCTGCTGCGTCTGTCCAGATAACCGGGGACTCATCTGATATGGGGGGAATAAAAAGTGACCTACCGTTCCATGTTGTTAAAAACAGTTCCCACATTTTTAGGTCGGCCCTCGCAGGATTGTCTAGATTTATTCTAGTGTCGTCGTCAGGGAGGCCGTGTAGGAGAGACAGAAGCCTAGAGATGAAAGACCTGCCTTGAGGGATAATTCTCATGGCAAAGTTAAGGGAACCCAAAAGCGACTGTAACTCTTTCCTGGTACAAGACCCTTGGTTGGTGCAGTTGTGAATGTTAGTAAGAATTCTGTCTACTTTCGTCTGAGGGAGGCTAGCTTGCATAGTTGCGGAATTAAGAGTGATGCCTAAGAAAGTTATTTCTGTACTGGGACCCTCTGTTTTGTTTGGAGCTACCGGGACTCCTAAGTCATTAAATAGGGATAGTGCATTTCTTAGACTATGTGGCGTGTAGTAGTTAGGCTCGATATATAAAAAGTCATCGAGGTAGTGAATTACTACTGGGCACCTGGAATTGTTTAGTAGTAGCCAGTTTAAGGTTTCTGCGAATATATCGAAGATTTTCGGGCTACTTTTGGAGCCGAAGGTCAGCCTGGTTGCAAAATAGTATTTCCCTTCCCACTTAACACCATGTAGATGCCAGAGTGACTGCTTAATTGGTAGGAGTTTGAAAGCGTTTGAAATATCTGTTTTGCTCAACCAGGCTGCCTCGCCCGAGTTGACGATAGCTTGTATGGCATCGTCTATTTTTGCGTACTGCAGTGAAAAGTCTTCTGACGGTATGAGAGAATTTAAGCTTGGGAATGTGGAAGTATGAGGTGCTGAAAAGTCGATTATTAACCTCTTTTTATTGTTAAACTTGCCCGTGGCTATACCGAGTGGACTAGTTCTCCAGGAGGTGAAGGGTGGAGTAGTAAAGGGACCTATCATAAAACCAAGTTCAATTTCTTTGTTGAGGAGATCCGTTAAACTGACTGGGTCTGTAATAGCTGATTGTAGGTTGGGGCATTCTAGTATGCCTGAAGGGAGTGCTACCAAACCTGTGTGAAAGCCTGTCGTGCAACCTGATACCAGAAAGTCTGCCAAGTGAGAGGAAGGATGTTCAGTCAAGTAACGTTGTAAATTATTTACGTTTATTGGGGTCATTGCTTTTTTAGGGAACAGTTATTTTGGACACATAGTTTTCGCATGTGCTCTGAAGCAGATCGAGCAAACATGAAGTAATCTACAAGCGCTGTAACTACAACCTCCCGCGTTAAAGTTGTTACAAACTTGAGCTTTCCCGAGAAATACTATCGGTCTCCCCAACTTATCTTTCATTTCCCTTTGATTAGGGAAATAGTCCGGACTGGTATTGCTATTAGACGGACCACTTATATTACTTGGACAAAAGTTTGCCGTATGAGATGCTGAGGCCCATATTGCACATGCTGGTGTTTTAAGCCCTGCAAAATGTCTACAGAATAATTTACTTGTCAGTAAAAGCAAAAAATTCAAGAAACCATTGTGGTACTCCGCAGATGTGGCCAAAATAGTTAAAAACAAAAAGTTAGCATTTAGGAATTATAAAAAAACCCAGAGTGAGGGAGACAAAATGATCTATAAGATTAGGCAGAAAGAGGCTAAGCAAGTTATAAGAGCTTCCAAATCACACACAGAAGAGAAAATAGCACAGTCAGTAAAAAAGGGGGATAAAACATTTTTTAGATACATAAATGAGAAAAGAAAAGTAAAACAAGGATTAGTTAGATTAAAAACAAAAGAAGCAAGGTATGTAGAAGAGGATAAAGGTCTAGCTGACTGCCTCAATTAATATTTTTGTTCTGTATTTACAGATGAAAATGAAGGAAAGGGGCCTCAGTTAAGAAAAAGGATAAATGAGTCATTTATTACACGTGAGTTTACAGAGGAAGAGGTTCTATTTCAACTGTCAAAAGTAAGACAAATAAGTCAATGGGACCTGATGGAATACACCCAAAGCTATTAAAAGAGCTTAGTGGTGTACTAACAAAACCATTAACAGATTTATTTAACCAATCATTGTTAACAGAAGTAGTCCCAGAAGATTGGAAGTTAGCGAATGTTGTGCCCATTTACAAGAAAGGTAACAGGGAGGAGTCGGGCAACTATAGGCCAGTAAGCCTTACTTCAGTAGTGGGGAAAGTGATGGAAACCATGTTAAAGGATAGGATTGTTGAACATCTAAAAACACATGGATTTCAAGATCAGAGACAACATAGGTTTACTTCAGGGAGATCATGCCAAACTAATCTTATTGATTTTTTTGATTGGGTAACTAAAACTATAGATCAGAGTGGTGCAGTAGACATTGCTTACCTAGATTTCAGTAAGGCTTTTGACACTGTTGCACATAGAAGGCTTATCAATAAACTGCAATCTTTAAGTTTGGATTCAAATATTGTTGAATGGGTAAGGCAGTGGCTGAGTGACAGGCAACAGAGGGTTGTAGTTAATGGAATATATTCGAAGCTTGTACTTGTCACCAGTGGGGTACCTCAGGGATCTGTACTTGGACCCATTCTCTTTAATATTTTTATTAGTGATATTGCAGAGGTCTTGATGGTAAGGTATGTCTTTTTGCTGATGATACTAAGATATGTAACAGGGTTGATGTTCCAGGAGGGATAAGCCAAATGGCAAATGATTTAGGTAAACTAGAAAAATGGTCAGAATTGTGGCAACTGACATCTAATGTGGATAAGTGCAAGATAATGCATCTTGGGCGTAAAAACCCAAGGGCAGAGTACAGAATATTTGATAGAGTCCTAACCTCAACATATGAGGAAAGGATTTAGGGGTGATTATTTCTGATGACTTAAAGGTAGGCAGACAATGTAATAGAGCAGCAGGAAATGCTAGCAGAATGCTTGGTTGTATAGGGAGAGGTATTAGCAGTAGAAAGAGGAAGTGCTCATGCCATTGTACAGAACACTGGTGAGACCTCACTTGGAGTATTGTACACAGTACTGGAGACCGTATCTTCAGAGGGATATTGATACCTTGGAGAGGGTTCAGAGAAGGGCTACTAAACTGGTTCATGGATTGCAGGATAAAACTTACCAGGAAAGGTTAAAGGATCTTAACATGTACAGCTTGGAGGAAAGACGAGACAGGGGGGATATGATAGAAACATTTAAATACATAAAGGGAATCAACACAGTAAAGGAGGAGACTATATTTAAAAGAAGAAAAACTACCACAACA